ACACACACACTTTTCCACAAAGACTCCCTATGCTTTGCCCAGTATTTAAGCTGTGAGTTTCAGTATCTGTTTCAAGCCAACCTCTAACACTATCAATGATACTCTGCTATGCTCACAGACAGGAGCCTAGCATAGCTGTCCTCTGAGAGGCTTTACCCAGCAGCCTAATATTCTCTTAATATTGAGGCTGAATAAATAAAAGCCATTTATAGGACTGGGGAGAATAGCTCAATTGGTAGAGCGCTTGCCTGGCACAAGGTCTTAAGTTTGATACCCAACACTATATAAGGCATAGTACCACACACCTGTAATCCCAAAAATCAGGAGGTCAAGGCAAGAGAATCAGAAGTTAAAGATCATCCTTGGTTACACTGTAAGGCTGAGCCTTAGGATGCAAAATACCCTGACTCCAGACAACAAAAATTTAGGCATGAGCACTTCCTAAAGGAAAACACATATATCTGTATTCTCCTTCCTCCACTGGACGCACAAGTGCAGGTGATAAGGCATAAGAAGTTAGAGGCTAGATGATCTAGATTCAAATCCCACCTCTAAGAAAGTTAATTAACCTCTTCAGACCTTGGTTTCCTTATGTATAAATAAAAACTAGCTGGGCATGGTGGCACATGTCTCTAACCCCAGAACTCAGGAGACAAAGGCAGGAAAGTATCTGAGTTTGAGACCAGCCTAATGTATGTAGTGAGTTCCAAGTCCACTGAGTGAGACTCTTTCTCAAAAAAGCAAGTATAAGAACTCCAGCTCCTACAATTCGTCAGGAGAACATGGCCCACAGAATCAACTAAGTAGGGCTCATAGAGGCTCTGAGAGACTGAAGCAGCAGTCATGGAGCCTGCATGGATCTTAGCTAGGTCCTTTGCATCTTTATTATGGTTTGTCACTCAGGGTTCTTGTGTACTCATAACAGTGGGAGTACAGGGTGTCTCTGATTGTTAGCCTGCTCTTGGGACTCTTTTCCTCCTAACGGGGTGCCTCATTCAGCCTGGATATGACGGTTTGTACCTAGTCTTATTGTAATTTGTTATGCCATCTACATTCAGTTGATATCCTGGGAGGCCTGCTCTTTTCTGATGGGAAATGTAGGAAGAGTAGATCTGGGAGAGAGGGCAATGTGGGGTGCAGGAAGGACTAGGAGGAGTGGGCAGAGAGGAAACTGCATTTGGAATGTAATGTATGAGGGGAAGAATAAATGTAAAAACAAGTAAGTACTCTAAAATGTATCTTTATAGAATTTTCAAAAAAGTGAGTTTAAAAGACTATGTGTCTCATATGTAACAAAAGCTCAGGTCAGAATCTCTGACATTTCTAGGAGACAAACTCTCAGAAAACTTCCTATTGCTCTAGCTCTTACAGTCTTTCCATCTCCTCTTCCGTTATGAAGTCTCATCAATACTGCTACCTAAACATGACACCAATGGAAAGGAAAATTTCATGAGGTCTCAACCCTAGGCAAAGAACTATAGGGAACAAGGAATGTTGAGAACAAAGGTGGGTTTGGGAGTATATACTGTTCCCTGGGAAAGAGCACACCAACTGGTTATCCAATACCAAGTGGTCAGCCCGTGTGTGTGTGTGTGTGTGTGTGTGTGTGTGTGTGTGTGTGTGTGTGTGTGTGTGTG